GTTTGAGCCTCCAGTCCCCTCATCATCCTGGTTGCTCTTCTCTGAACTCTTTCCAGAGTCTCCACATCGTTTTTTTTATATTGTGGTGACGAAAACTGGATGCAAATGTTCCAAGTGTGGCCTTACCACACTTACCAAGGCTTTACAGATTGGTACTGATTTCTCCTTCCTTCTATGTTGCATCATCTCCCTTTAGTCACCTTCCGCCCTGGCCTCAGGTGCTTTGGAGAACAGGTGGACCAAGGGGGGGTTGCAGAGCCTATATGTGGGTCTTTGGTCGGCCGGCCCTTCTCCCTCTCGCTTTCCCTGACTCTGCCCTTTCTCCCTTCCTCTTCCTCGGCCCAGGTGGACGGGCAGGTGGTAGCGTTGCTGGTGCAGAATCTGGAGCGTCTGGATGAAAGCGTAAAGGAAGAGGCCGACGGCGTTCATAATACTCTGGGTAAGCGGGGTGCCCGTTGGAGGGGTGAAGAGGCCTCTTGCCCTCTAAGCTGGGATCTGCCCCATCCTCCTTCCTGCCTTCCAAGCGCTGGAGGATCTGGCCTGAGGTCCAATGGGGCCCTTTCACACTGGAGGAGGCTGCTGGATTGATGGTAACACACACACACACACACACTCACCCCTCTGCTCCCCACCTGTCCATCCTTTTGGTTATCATATTGATATATTCTTCTTGTGTTCCGTTGAGTTGTTTACGAATGGACAATATTTATGGACAACTCCCTGATAACCTGGTGTTCCCCGGGTATTTACTTATAGGGGGGAAATGTCTGGACCAAATGTAATTTCTAATGTTGTATTTTCCCCCTTACCAGAGGGAGCCCCCTGGTGGAGTACTGGGAAGCCATTATCATGGCAACTCCACTGCGCTGTACAGTAGAAGCCATTTTACGGCACAACAGGCTGTGTCTTAACAGAACACACATACCCCCAAGGGGTGTCTTTCCCCCACAATATTTGTTTCCAGAGAGTAAGTCATCTGTGTAACAAGTTTGGTTGAAATTGCTCGAGTTACCCTGGAACATACACATACAAACACAGCCATAGACATAGACATAGATATAGAGATATAAGACAAAAAGAGAACCATGGCAACAGGTGTGGAGATAAGTCTGAAGATTCTCAGCCTTCCAGTAGATTGTCTGGAAGTCCAGTTGCCATAACTCAACCTCCAGACAAGGGTGGGAGAACCAGAGCTTCTGATATGAGGGAGGAACCCGTCTCCAGCCGCCTGGGCCTCTCAAGGCATGTCTTGGCCCTCATGGTCCCAGGCCAGAGGTCCTTGCCTTAGGGCGGTCTTTCTCAACCATGGCTGTCTGGGGAATTCTGGGAGTTGAAGTCCACGCTCTTGAAAGTTGCCACGGTTGGGAAACATTGTCTGGGGAACACTGCCGGGTTGGGAAGCCTGCTAAGATATGCCCATGGCTGTGAAATTCAGGACTGCTAAGGGTCTTCTCTGCTCTCTCTCTCTCTCCCCCCTCTTAATCCTCCCCAAAGCTATCATTGAGAACATGGCAGAGTTTCGGCTGGAGGTGTGTGCAGATGCCGCCCAGCAGGGCCTCATGCAGTGGCTTCTCAAGAGGTTGAAGGTGAGTGATGTGTTAAAATATTCATGGCATGGGAAGAAGGTCAGCCAATGAATAGGCATAGCAACTACGTCAGCCAAGGGGAGCTTAAACAGATCGGAGTCTGTGCAGAGAATCAAAACTGAAACTTCAGCAGTCTGCTGCTCTGAGAAGTAAACTTAGCAGTCTGTCTGTGCTCGTCTGCTGAAATGAAACTAACTGCTTGTGTTTTCATGTAACTCTCCTGCCTTGTGTTTCCTTGGAAGAACCACCTGTTGGTATTGTACATTTATTCATCTGTTCTTATGTGTACTAAAGAAGTTAATGAATCCAGCTGCCTCAGTTATCTGTCTCTGCTTTCTGGATTTGAATTTATGCAACAAACTCTGACATGATGGCCATATTTTCTCTGACGGTTCCCCTTAAGGCGGCCGGGGGGTGGGGGGGGCAACTGGTGACATTTGAACTTCAACTCCCAGAATTCTCCAGGTAGCCTTGATTTCTGGGAGTTGAAGTCCACAAGTCTTGGAACCCTTTACCTTATATACCATTCTGGACAACTGGCTGTCCGGTCGGTCCAGTGCCAAAGGGGCGTTGGTGTTGTAAAGTGGCAGGGTTGGGAAAGGGACATTGGACCCCGGGGGGGGCATTTCACTGACCATAAAAGGCCAGGCTTGAAAACGTAAAGAGGCTTGGCATCGACTGGGCGCCCATCCCGAAGGCCAAACCCCTGTGAGACCGGAGGTCCTTTTTGAGTATTTGAGTATTTATTTATTAATACTTATAGGCCGCCCTTGACCGTAGGAAGAATGCAAAAGGCATTTCTTGACCCACTGCTCTCCCCTCCCCCCCCCTCTTGCAGGCCAAGATGCCTTTTGATGCCAACAAGCTCTACTGCAGCGAAGTGCTGGCCATTCTCCTCCAGAACACGGACGGTGAGTCCTGGACCTGCCCCCTCTCCCCCCACCCGCCTGGCCCGTGGTGGGCTTTATGCCCCCCTGAAACTCCCTCCCACCTCCTTTCCTTGCCCTGGGCTCTCTGCCCAGCCCTATCGATTTTAGCTGGTGCGATTGAGGTAGCTGTCAAATCTGAGCCTTTGCCCCCCCCTCCTCTGCCCCCTCCTCTCCTTTGCCGGGTGAGGGCCTGTCAAATCTGACCTTTGCCCCCTCCCCACCTTCTTGCAGACAACCGGGAGATGCTGGGGGAGCTGGATGGGATCGACGTCCTGCTTCAGCAATTGTCGGTGAGTAACTTCCTACCCTTTGCCTGGAGGAGGGGAGGGGAGAGACGCTCATCCCAAGGGGAGGGGGGGAGAGGAGACGGGAAGCTGAAGCCCAGCAGGCTTTGAAACCCCCCCTGGGGTGTGGGGGTGGGGAATGCAGTGCACCTGCTTCATGCCGGCCATGAAGGATCCAGAAAGAGCATTTTCACTTAGTCCCTGACTTACAATCATTCGTTCAGCGACTGTTCAAAGTCAGGATGGTGCTGAAGAAAAGCGGCCGATGGCCCGTCTTCAACATGAGCCGAGGTGGCACAGTGGTTAGAGTGCAGTACTGCAGGCTACTATAGCTGACTGCTAGTTCGGCAGTTCGGCGGTTCGAATCTCACCGGCTCAGGGTCGCCTCAGCCTCCCATCCTTCCGAGGTGGGTAAAATGAGGACCCGGATTGTTGTTGGGGGCGATATGCTGACTCCTCGGAAGGATGGAAGGCTGAGTCAACCCTGAGCCGGTGAGATTCGAACCGCCGAACTGCCGAACTAGCAGTCAGCTATAGTAGCCTGCAGTACTGCACTCTAACCACTGTGCCACCTCGGCTCATGTTGAAGACGGGCCATCGGCCGCTTTTCTTCAG